CGCGACAAGGGCGGCTGGGGCGGCGGCGATCTCGGGGCGAAGCTGTCCCTCTGCTTCGAGCCTCCGCAGGCCCGGGCTGGCGGCGGCGGCGAGAGCCGCGTTCCGCTGCGGCCGCTCACGGAGCAGAACGCGCTGCAGGACGACGAGTGAGTGCGGCCAGGGGGGCGCGGAGGGGGGCGGCGGGGAGCGGCAGGGCCCGGCCCGACCTGAGAGGACAGCGCGGCCCGACAGCCGTACCCTGGAAAGCGCTGCCCCGGGGCCTTGGCGAGCCCCGGCAGGGCTTGTGGGCTGCGGGAGCGGAGCCTTTCCCCGCCCCCGGGGCTGCAGCTGCGAGAGGCCGGGCCCGGGCAGGAGGGCACGTTCGGCCTCCGCGGCGCGGGGTTGACGTGGAGCCCTCCGGCTTTATCCCCGTGACGACCAGGGAGGCGTGTGAGCATCCCCGAGCCTCTGGCCCCGCCGGGCTAACGAGGAGTACCTGCTCTGAAGCGCCGAGTGACCGGGGGTAGTGTTTGTTTAGCGTCTTGCAAAGTGCCCACTGTCTCCCTGTTAGTGCGGAGAGCAAAGGAAGAACAAAATCTCAGCGGCAACCGTGATAATTTTGGGGGGGGGGGGGGGAGGAGTCCCCTGAGCCTTTCTGATTCATGCTACTTTCCATTTTTTAACATTATTTTACAAGTATTTATACTTCTAATTTTATAGTAAATTCAGTCAGTTTATCTTCATTAAAAATACTGCAGTTTTACTTAGGGTAACGGAATTGTATGTCTTCCTCTAAGAGAAGGAAAAAAAAAAAGCCTGTCAGCAAGAGACTGGATATCTATCGTATAAACAGTGGGGTAAGTTCAGAGAACCATGAATCACGCTGGGCAGTGATGGGGCCCCGTCTGCCCTTCTGTGTCTGGCTCGGCTGTTCCTCTGACCTCCTCTGAGCCTTAGCTAGGCAACCACTCCAAACATCCACCCACAGCAGAAGGCCTGGAGGCAGGGCTTGCTGGGTGACTAAGAAGCAGCCTGCTCGAAGGGCTGCTCTGTTTAAAGTCTGAAGTGGTGTTCCAGGGTGGGTCTGCGTGTGCAAGGCTCTGGTACTGCCACTGTAGAAACAGCTACGATTGACAGAGTAGTGGGCTAAACTCAATTTAGAGTACTTCTGGATAAAACTAAATTCTTTCCAAGTTTTAGTATAATTTTTGTATGTTCATTGTTCTGTCATAAAGGGAAAGAAAAAATAACTCTCAGAATTTGCTACTCAGTCTCTGCTAATTCTTTATGCTAATGTGCAGAAGGAAAACAGGAACATTATGAATGGAATTTACAGCTTAGTTATGATTTCATTAAAGGAAGGGCTCATCCACCCTCAAAAAAGATTTTGAGTATGGTTATATAATTAGCATGGAAGCTCTCTCTTCATTTATTCTTCTGTTTCACTTTGGTGCATACATTGTTTAAAAAGGGAAATAAATTATGTTTATCAAAAAACATTTTCTCTTAGCTTCAAAACCAAACATATTGTCAGTAACTTGCAGATAAATATTTAGGGAGGAAGATATAGTTACTGATAGAGGTATATGATGATTAAGAATATGTTTATTGCTGATCAATTGCTGCTTATTTTAAGGTCTGTGTTTTTGTTCCTTTATTCCTCTCTCCAGGATTTGGAATGCTTTGACTGATAATTATGGTAACGTGATGCCAGTTGACTGGAAATCTTCCCACACCAGAGCTTTGCACTTGCCAACACTGAACCTTTCAGAAAAAGGGGTAAGTTCTGATCAGCAGAAGTACCCTCTTTGGATCTTTTTTACTGAGCAGGGAAATAAAACTATTTGTATTTGTATAAAAGAGTGTCATTATTAAATGGCTGAAAATGTTTTTAATGCTTGCCATTATACATGAGAGGTTTTTAAAAATAAAAAAAATCTAACAACCATTGATGTATGTTTGCATCTCCTTGGGTTGGAATAATGCAGGTTAGTTTGAGATGAATTTTCATTAGAGCCAGAGCATGATAGAAAAAAATATAAAATGAGAAAGTGCTTCACATAAAATCTTTCTGCTGTCTGATTCATGTTGGACACTGATGGGAGGAAAAGACGCAGAGAGACTCTAATTTAGTAAATCCAGTATGAATTTTTTTTAAGGTTATCTCAGTCTGCAGTCAGGTGGCTTCTTTAACATGAAGGGTGGCCCATGAGGCACCGAATTGCCAGAGTTTGTTTTGTTTTTCTTATTTAACAGTTAGAATAGTTGTCTGGGGAGGGAACAGGGAATTAAGAGCTTCAGAGAGGTTTATAGAAAGGGTTGTCCTCCGATCTTCTTATAAGTGGATTAAAACATTTCAGGAGGAGAAGCCAGGAGGAATTCCCATCTTACAGGTCTTCTGAGGAAAAGAGCAGCTTATCTTTGAAGTTGAGTT